GTGATTTCATGAAAAGCAAATATGTGATTTTCATAAAAGCGTAGATTAGTTCCTTTTCTGAGAAGCACACTGTGATTTTCTATGTGCTTCTCACAAAAGCAAATATATGTTTCTTGCCGAAGCACATTTTTTTAGAAGCAAATATGTGTTCTCTCAAGGCACTTTTTTTTCCTTTCCAAGAAACATAATTGTGCTTCTCATGAAAGCACAATCTTTTCTTCTTTCTCGTGGAAGCAAATGTATGCTTCCCCTAGAAGCATGCCTATCATTCGCAAAAATGAAGAAGGGAAAATCAGGCAAAAACGAAAAGTCGAAAAACTGAATAAAACTTCTAAAACACGAAAAACACGAAAGCACGTACAGAAAGTTTAAAAAGAAAATCGAAATTCAGAAAGAGCGTCAGTAGGTGACACGTGGCAGCGAATGGGCGCGCTTGCATATCAAGAAACTGAGGGTAACCCTTGCACAGTTGCCCCCGGTTCCTCTTTTGAAAACTACTCCCTCCGTCCGAAAATACTTGTCGAAGAAATGGATGAATTTAGATGTACTTTTGCTGTAGATACATCCAATTTTATCCATCTATCCGACAAGTATTTCGGGACGGAGGGAGTATATGTGTGTTGCCTCAAGTATTAGTAGGGGCTTCGCACAGGGCCGCCCTGGACTGGGAGCCCCCATTTTCCAATTTTTCCTTTTTTTTCATTTCTGTTCCCTTTTCTCGTTTTATTTTTCTTTCATGCTTATTTTATATTTTCCTATTTCTTTCTATTTTCCTGTTTACTTTCTTTACAACAAATCAAAAGTTTCAAAATCTGTTCAGAATTTTCAAAAAATTGTTCCCCGTTAGAAAACAATTGTTTGTAAATTTAATTTATTATCTTGTCCTGAAAATTATTCAAAATTCACAAAATGTTTCCATTTTATGAGAAAATTTCTGTATTTTAAAATCGTCCAAGAATTTCATAAAATGTTTGTATTTATAAAAAATCTTCAAAATTTAAAATATATC